CTTTATTCATTCATCAGTTGATGGACACTTGGGCTGTTTCCATACCTTGGCTATTATAAATAATGCTGCTATAAACATCGGGGTTCATGTACCCCTTTGAATTAGTGTTTTTGTAGAGTTCGGGTAAATACCCAGTAGTGCGATTGTTGGATCATATAGTTCTATTTTTAACTTTTTTGAGGAACCTCCATACTGTGTTCCACAGTGGCTGCACCAGTTTGCATTCCTACCAATAGTACATGGGTGTTCTCTTTTTCTCCACATCCTTTTTATGCCACTACCATACTGTTTTGCTTACCACAGCTTTGAAATATAACTTGAAGTCTGGAAGTGTGATGCCTCCAGCTTTGCTTTTCTTTCTCAAGATTGCTTTGGCTATTCAGGGTGTTTTGTGGTTGCAGACAAATTTTAGGATTGTTAGTTTTAGCTATGTGAAAAATGCTGTTGGTATTTTGATAGGGATTGCATTAAATGTGTAGGTTGCTTTAGATAGTAAAGACATTTTAACAATATTTGTTCTTCCAATCCATGAGCATGGAATGTTTTTCCATTTCTTTGTGCCGTCTGGAATTTCTTTCATCAGTGTTTTACGGTTTTCAGAGTCTAGGTCTTTTACCTCTTTGGTTAGGTTTATTCTTATGGATCTTATAGTTTTGGGTGCAATTGTAAAAGAGGTTGTTTTCTTAATTTCTCTTTCTGCTGCTTCATTATCTGTGTATAGAAATGCAACAGATTTCTGTATATTAATTTGTATCCTGTGACTTTATGTTTATCAGTTCTAGCAAAGTGGAGCCTTTAGGATTTTCTATATATATTATCATGTCATGTGCAAATTGTGAAACCTTGACTTTTTCCTTGTCAATCTGGATGCCTTTTATTTTTGTTGTTTTTGCTTTTGTCTGATTGCTATGGCTATGACTTCCAGTACTATGTTGAATACCAGTGGTGAGGGCAGACATCCTTGTCTTGTTCTCACTTCTTTCCCATTAAGGATGATGTTAACTGTGGGTTTTTCATAGATGGCCTTTATTATGATGAGGTATGTTCCCTCTAAACCTATTTTGTTGAGGGTTTTTATCATGAATGTGCATTTGAAAAGAATGTACTCTGTTTCAGGATAAAATGTCTGAATATAAGTGTTAATTCCCTCTGTTCTAGTGTGTCATTCAAAGCCATTATTTCCTTGTTGATGTTCTGTTTAGATGATCTGTCCATTGATGTAGGTGATGTGTTCAAGTCCCCTACTACATTATTATATTACCAATTAGTTCCTTTATGTTTGGCCATAATTGTTTAATATATTTGGGTGCTCCTATGTTGGGTGCATAAATATTTACAATTGTTATATCTTCTTGTTGGATTATCCCCTTTATTATTATATAGTGTCCTGCTTTGTCTCT